TGGTCAGTTAACGGTTTTCTTACTGGCTAATATAAAAGGGTAATAAAAGGACATGGCTGATTTCTGAAAGCCGGCTTAACAGAATATTCGTTTTAAGGTTGGTTAATCAACACCTTCACCAAGAAAATTACAGTTTTCAACAAGTTCAACGGCCAGTAACTCTTTGGATTCACAGTTCAGGCAGAGGATGGAGCTGGTGGTAATGCCTCGTGCCATGAATATCTTTATCTTGATTTAAAAACAATGTTTTGCCGTGTTTTATGGGTGAATTTTTATTTGACCACAGGGTTCTTGAAAACCTCACTTAGCACATATAAAGAGCAAAAGTGCATTTCAGAAATTATTTTAGTTTACTGGTGTGGAGCTGGTGTGAGTATACTACAGAGCAATGTAAGATGAGGAATAGCAGCAATATGAATTATAAATAAGATGGTTTTCAAGCGGAGAACAGACCAAATCCTCAACAGGATATTGAAAAACTGTAGGACTGCAGTTGAAAATGTTAAAGTTAGTTAAGTTTTGAAGCCATAACAGATTATTGCCCTGAAATTTTACAGACGTTGTTTGTGTTCAACAGAGAGGAAGTTTCATTTGGAAGAACTCTGCTGATTGATGTAGTTTTGCTGAGTACTTACCATTAAAACAGGTGCATTAAAGTCAACATAATTAAAAGGTGTGCAATACATCACACTGATCATAATAACTTTATTAAGATATATAAGTGTTTCGTACAATTAAATTAAATATTCTTATATATCTGCTTACATTTAAGTTTACTAAATGGTTATATTGATTTTCATGTGTGGGTTAAACTATGGTTGATTTTGTTGCAATATCTAAATGGATAATTGTCCCTACATCGCTGATCTTTAATAAGGATAGCAAATCAGGAAATGATAAATAATATTAATATTAATAATAATAATAATAATAATAATAATAATAATTAGAAGAAGAAGAAGAATGGTAAAAGGAAATATGCAAAGCAGTCTAACCCATGGCCTCTCAGTCTGCACGTCTTTCATGGATCAGTAGTTAAATGTCATATATCCACTTCCACCTCCTAAATACTCTGCATTCTATGTCTACACTGTTGGGGTTGCATTTCAAACTTGGACAGCACTTATGTGGAGGAACCCCCTTCTAGATTACATGCAGGTAGCTGCAGATGCTGGCAACACAGTCACGCAGTTGTGCAATGCTAGAAAAAGGAAGCAGCTGACTAAAAATGCAAAGCTAAGGGAAAAGAAGCACTTTCCATGTTAGTGTTGCAGTGACGAATAACATTGCATGGCACCATGAGCATGTTTCAGTCAGAAATGATCTATGACTGACTGCGTGGAAAAGGTCTTCTTTTTTTGCCTCTACTGCACTTTAAACACCGCATTGAGCTCTCTTCAATGTGGGCTGTTCTAGGAAACTTAAAAATCCTTAACTCAAGTAAAAGAGCATGAGAAAGGTTAGGAAAGGTTGAGAAAGGTGAGTAAATCAGTGAAGAAGATGCAATGCTTAATAATAATTCCTGGAATCCACCAAGCCATTGCATACTGAGGACATCTTACAATATGGGGTTGACTGTAATATTGTAAGATTTTTCCTTTAAGCTTGTGATATTTTCTGCTGCAGCATCTTAATAATCTGAAGATGAACTTTTTGAGAACCTCTTGAGTTGAGGAATTCTGCTTTCTTTGGCTGCTGACCAGCTGCCCCCTGGCAGCACGTTTATCACATCAATCCCACCAGCAGCCATGTAATTATGTTTTTCATTATCTGCCAATATTATTTTAGTGTTTCCAACACTGGCAACCCCATCAACTTAAAGGAAAGGGGAAGGAAACTGCTTCAGTTGTGGAGCCGTTGACATTCTTCAGGGCTCTAATGAAAAGGGAAATACAACAGTAGCTGCTATTTGTGCAGATCTTAAATGTTTTTGAACTATTCTGAACATTTTTATTTTTGCAGTCAGAAGTACTGCATGTTACCAGGGAATTGGCTTTAGGATGTGACTAGATTTGTACACACATAGCTCTGGAGGGAACGGCATAGTCCAAAATACACACTCTGATGCCAGAGAGAACTGAGGGAGCTGATGCAGCAGAAATCCAGCACAGAGAAAATATGAATTTAAGTAGAGGCAAGTTTGGAGCTGAGTAGCTTCAGTCTCATGCATGAAAAGACCATAAACATCTAATTGTGAGCGTCGTCTCCTCCTGAATGGCATTTAACCTGGTTTGTCACCAGGGTCACCAGCTCTACTCATGCGTTTCATCATGTGGTCGACGATACGTGAGCCTGACCTGACAGGATAGACTGAGGCTTTTCTGTATGCGGACGTGTGGACTTACGCTGTGAACAACCGATGTCACGGCGTCTGTAATCTGGTTGGGAGCGCTGGGGTTGCTCATGGCTCCGCAGTGGAGTTGCTGCTGGAGAGGCTCTGGAAAGCTGGTTTGGATCGGTGTGGCTTTAGCCCTTCTCTTTCTCACTGGGACTCAGACAGCTTTTGGGCAGCATAACCTGGAGACAAATGCAGATCCGGGGGTTAGTCCACATGAAGCTGGAGATTTATAAGCATGAGGTAAACAAGGCACTAAGACACAGCAACTGTGAGCCAGTAATCCCTCAATATGAAATGCAGTAAGAGTGTAATGACAGTGGTGTTTTTTATGGTTTTGGCTCTTTTCCTCAAAACTTCATATCTGAAATGAGACCATGAATATCAAGTTGAAGTTGTGATTTTACATGAGCAGTGCAGGATTTTATCCCTTTTTTATACAATGTTGTTCAATGTTATTAGTTTAGCTTGTTAGCATCATAACATTTGCTGATTAGCACTACACACACAGTGCAGCTGAGGCTGACTGGAATGTCATTTGATTTGCAGGTAATTTGTCATAAGTACAAATAAAATGTCAGGGCATCAGTAAACTTACAAACATTTTCTTGAAAACATGAAATTCTGTACAAACGTTTATTTAAATTTAGTTCTTTTTCTTCAGATATTTCAGTCTGAACCAAGGTGACGAACATCGCTATCCCTAGAACCACATCACTAGCATGGCTACAAAGGGCAGTGATTACCACACAGTTTGTGATGTGGATTTAAATACCCAGTAAGAGTCAGTACTTAAACCCCATGAAGTACTGAGTCTTTTGCATTTCAAATCCATTGTGCTGAAGTGCAAAGCCAACAAAATTCAAAACCCAAAGCAACAGGAATCATGAATGATCTGGTACATCCTGTTTTATGGTGCTTTAATGTATTACTTTGTGTCCTGTATTGTTCTGTCTGTATTTCTTGCTGACTTCAATGTTTTTAATGTACATGACTTTGTGTTTTGTACTGTCTCTTAAGTCTTTTGTTGAGTTGGATGTATTTTAAGAGGCCATCTGAGGACAACTAGTGCAATTAGCTCAGGCTATAAATGTTGTGGTGTGTGGCATTGGTTTGTGCCCCATGCTTGTCCCTATACAAATAAACAATTGGATAAATAAAAATACAAACATGCTTCACAGTACAGACAGTGTTAGCATAACACTGTGTGACATGTTGTCTAACTATGGAGTAATCAACAGTTTCAGGATTTCCTGGAAGCCCGCAAGTACCTTTGAGTCCTCCAAGTGGCCCAAAGTATTGCCATAACGATGAAGTGGAAACACATAATTTATATTATACTTGAGGAGCAACAATGGCAGAAGTAGTAGAAGTACACACCAATATCTTTTTACAAACAATGATATTCTTTTCATGTCTATGATTCTTGATTTCAAGTGTTGCACTACTTCCTCACCACCATTCAAGGTCATTAACCATTAGAGTCAGATAAGCAGATAAGAGCCAGATAACACAGTGCTACTGTGCAGAGGACCCTTTGATAAGCAGCGGACACGTGTCTCAACCAACCTCCACCTCCGTCACTCTCAAGTCACCATTGTACGACATGGAACCACGGGAATCCAAAAACAACTATCAGAGCTTCGCAGTACAACGGGTTAATGGAGATTAACAGCAAGAGGACAGTAAAGTACAGAAGTAATGTGCTGTCTGAGAGAAATGTCATTCACAGAGATATAGATCTTGATATAACTAAAACAATTAATTAAATCGGCAAGTAACAAAATTCAGTGGTTCTGCTTCTTAAATGTGAATATGAGCTGGTTTTCTTAGTTCCTTATGATTGTAAACTAAATAGTTTTCGGTTTCAAACTGTTGGTCAGCCAAAAGAAGATATTTGAAGATGTCACCTTGGGCTTTACTAAATGTGACAAGCATTTAATAGACGGAATGAGAAATGGATCAATCAAAAAAAATTGTACTGGCATTCCTAGTTCTTGATACAATTAAGAAGATCAACTGACATTTGCACAAACTAGTAAAAGTGTATAAATTGGTATAGTCCACTGATATTAATAAAACTGAAGAATAGTTAAATAAATGTACTTGGCAAATCGTTTGCAACATTGTGAAGAGAACAGCGGTTGCTCCTTCAGTTTGAAAGCAGAGGAGGGCCCTCTTTTGGTTCAGTGTCACAGTTAGAAATCATGGTGTGCCAAAGCCAGCCTGGCGGTCTGACAGCAGCTTTCAAACAGCCGATAAGCCTCCCTGATGCCTGAGCACAATCATATCAATGACCTTGTTGAGAGCGGGGTACAGTTATTGTATGTTTCATTAAAGTAAAGTGGAGTAATCACGATAAAAATGTCTATTGGAGTTGGTTCTGGTGTGTTTTGAAGATTACTTTTCTCAGTAAACCTAGACCCACCACTGTGGAAGAGGCAAGGCTGGCTACACAGGGATAAAGTTACAGAACCCTGGGATCCTGAGCAAAAAGCTTGGGAACCAGTTTATCTACCTCGGGGCACGTCTACCGATAACAATAACGATCAGAAAACAATAATACTCAATGATCTGATGTTCTGTGTCTGGCATCAGGTACAATCAGTTAAAGGGTTGAATAAAAAGGAACTGCTTGTTACTTGTGTAACAACCAAAATGACCAGAAGGACACGGATGAATGCTGACAGTGCAAGAGGAAGTGAGGACAAGATGCTCTGTATTTGTCTTGGAAGAAGTTCTTCATGTCTTCCCAGAGTTATCAGAAGTCCAGTGTTCCTAAAAGAAGAATAACGAATGTGGAATTTTTTACACTTCTAAGCTTTTCCATGCAAGACTTAGTCACAGCCTAAAATCTGTGCAGGCTTGGCTTTGAGAAAACGATCCTTTTGGGAGGAAGTTAGTATGAAAACAGGAAGAAGGCAACTGCTATATAGACCAACGCCTGTCAGGAGGAGCTGTAAACTTATTAAAAAATACAAACAGGGCACTCTGGGAATCGTTTATTGTCCATAATGTCAGACCTTAGAAAAACCATGTGTATGCTTGGACTAGACCTATAGTCCAAAACTAATCTGGGTTAATACAAAATGTATTAATGTCTACCCTGTGACATTAAAGGTTAACTCAACTTGTCTGTCTGCCTACACAGAAAGAAGACACTAAGAGCAGAGTATACAATCAGGAGCACGTGTGTGAAAATGCTACCTTTGACCGACAAATCTACAGAAAGTAAAAACCAACTACAGTGCAGTTTCTAACTAACATTTCTGTTGAAATATATCTTGCATATGAGGCTAAGATGTCACAATTTTTTGCCGAATACTCGCAACTCTTATAAAGGATGACTTAAGCCAAAGCTCCTCTGTATATAGGTAAAAAATTATCATATTTCCTATTTGATTGACCACTGCTGATAAAGTGTAGTGTGCTTCTGTTGCAATGATTTTGAGGAACTAACATTTCCTTTGCTGTTATTTACATGACAATCAGGGCTAGCTAAACCAATTTCGTCTAAAGTTTATCTGAATATCACCATCAAACATCATCATCATATTACAAACTTCTACTACTAGGTATGTCACAATTTGTGACATACCTAGTAGTAGATCTTTTGTCATTATTAAGATCTGTGATGTGCACCTCGTGGTGACTCATTTCTCAGAACAAATGTACCTGACAAACTCTCTTTGGTATGTTGTAAACTTCCAGTATTTCTTAAGAACATAACCAGCCTTTTCCTCCTTTTATTAGGAAAATAAAGGCACATTACAGACACCTTTTAGGGAACAAGACAATAAAAAGTAAGGAACAAAAATCAGACGTTGGCCTGGCAAATGTCTTTCTTTTTTTAAGGAAGTTTAAGGTATTTTTTTAGATCCACTGCAAGGCTTTTTTTAAAGAAAGGAACAACGACAAGCTACAGAAATTTGGTACACTAAAATATTTAGAGGAGCGCTCCACATTAGGAGCCTGGAGAAGAGCTGAGTCAGCACAAAAGGCCCACCAACCATGTGAAAAATGTATGAGGAGCATCTGTCTCTGTCCGTGTAATCTCAAAAATACCAATTTTTCACTGTAATCTCATGTGACCTTTGGGGTTAAAGACAGACAAAAGGTTATAAATTCTTTGCTATGGCCCCCTCATAATGACATTAAGGGAAAAGAGCGAGACAGTCAGACGACGGGACAGAGGTCATGCGCCAGACTCGAACTCACGACACAAGCCCTTAACGCATTGGTCTGCCAGGACACCCCGGCCGAGCCCGAGCCTCAACCGGCAGTTTGGCACGTGAGCGTCGACCGCAGACTGCATGCTCATCTACAAATTCTATCAAAAAAGGGCATAATTAAAGAACAGTTCAATAAAATATGCAAACTGCCAATAAAAATGCCTGTCCGGGAATAGAAAGCTTGATCACAATGTCCAAACCTCAACCAACACACAAGCCTGTACTTATAAAAGCAGGACAATGACAGGGAGGAAAGGACCGGTTTAAGGTTTCATTAGAGAACTTGGTTTATAAAAAACAAGACATTTGTTTTGTTATGCAGGCGATTCATGTTTAAAGAAACATATTTCTTTTCCCAGAGACACTGATTGTGATAGCTGCAACAGAAGATAATTTGTGGCCTTAATATTTTATCTGACATAATAACATTCTGATCACTGCTTTAAGTTCACAGTATTATCGCCCATTTCAGCCACATACAAGACCTGATTTACAAAAACATACGCGTGATAAACGGACATGGGTTGAAAGGAGAGTGCTTTAAGAAGACAAGAAGACAAACACTTGAGAAAATAATGTGTTTTGTAGCTATGAGTGGTCAGTTCTTATTTGACCACAGCATTTAGAGAGCCATCGCTTCCCACAACATGTCCTTTAAAGGCTCTAATTTAGGATTTATAACAGTGGAAAAGTTTGTCCTTCTAAAACTCAAGTGGCTTGTTTGAGGCCCTTTTTTTCTACTGTGTAACCTGTGGAACTGAGCAAGATTTGTTTACAGTTGTCCGTGCAATGCTTGCAGATCATCATGGTTGAAGCCTGAGTCAGCTCTACTCTCTCCTCAAGTCAACTGGATATTAAGAAAGTGTGACGCTAACAGGAAGAATCTTGTTAAGTTTGATTAGACTTGACCTGACAAATAACGGCTCTAATTGGGGACTAACCCATATAAACAATTAATTAAGTAGACAATAAATAAATAAAAAGAGAGCAAGCGGTACAAAGTGACACACAAATAAGACAACTTCAAAAACATTAGAATGAGTTAACAAATCCAAAAAAAAAGAGATCCATGATTGTACCATACCTTTGTGTGCTTACAGCAGAGAAGCCACCGCAGACATTGTAGTGCAATTCTGAACTCTGCGATGAAGAGAGACCCGGAGTCGGTCAGAGTGCAGGACAAAACAAACAGAGGGAGAAAAGACAGATAGGGAGACAAAAGGAATGAGAGTTAGAGTTGTGGAGCGCAGCTGATCTAGTGCAGGTCCAGCCTCTCGTTGGAGTGCTCTCTCCGACCAACATGCACAGACTGATAGCAGCAGCCTTCCTCCTCAGGATTATGTTTCCTCCTCCAGCCTGCTGACAAGTAGCCATGTGACTACAGGACCCATTCAACACTGAGTCAGAGGCTGCTGCTCAGACACACACACACACACACACCCCTATATGTGTCTGACACACACAAACACACACACCCACCCACCCACACACACAAATGACCTCAAGCTTAAGATGGAAATCCAACCCCTATGATCAATATGTTGTCTTAACAAACCATAACAGTGGTTTTGCTTGTTTTAGACCAGTGTTTCCAAACCTGTTTGGCCTGTGATTTCAAAGCAATGTCTACTTGCAAAGAGAGTTTTCTTCACTTTGTTAGAATAATGTGTACAGTCCTGAAAAGGTGCAATTATCCAGTAATTCACAAAAGAAAGAATTAAGCAAAAAAATAAGCATGACTGTTTTTTTTCTGCTTTTCTCTTCTGTAAATCATCCCCAGTTATCTCCATTGTCCCCTAGTGGCTGGCTGCAGTATAGATCATAAACCCCAGCTCATGTTAGCAGATGGGTCATGGGCCAAACAAAAAAAATTAAAGTTCAAGTCAAATAAATGTTTCCCAAAGATGGTTTCTGTCAATTTAGGTAGTTCTCATCCTGCTGATGTATGTTCAAGTGTGCATGCCCTGCTGGTAACTGAGTCAGCCGGATGTAAGGGTGGGATCTGTATACCGCGGCAACAACCCTGATCACTACCAGGCAGACATCACCAGTGCAAGATTGCAGCGCCCATATTTTGCCTTCATTTTTTTTTTTACAGTGGAGGGAAGTGGAGACACGCCATCCATCTTTTTATAAAACCTATGATTATGACCCCAAAGGTTGGGAACCAGTGAACATGGTAAACATGCACCTGCTAAACATCAGTATGTTAGCCTTGTCATTGTGTAAAAGCTAATGTTAAGCTAAAGGTTGATGTTTACCATGTTCAACATCTTTGTTTAGCAAACTAACCCTTGCTAATTAGCACTAAAAACAAAGTACAGCTGAGGCTGATTGAAAATGTATTAGTTTTGGAGATATTTGATCAGAAAACATTGAATAAATAAAACTTTTGACCTCATGGGGGCACTAGATAAAAGGTCAGGAGTTCAACAGAAGTTTCCCATTCAACCTAAAGGGACCATTAATATGTGCACAAAATGTCATAGCAATCAATAGTTGTAAGACTTCATTCAAAACCATAATGTCAACCTCATGGTGGCCCTAGATAATGAGTCAGGGGATCTCCAAAGTCATTAGCATACAACGTCTGAGAACCATGAATGTCTGTACAAAATTTCCTCACAATCCTTCAGCTAGTTATTGATATGTTTCGTTCTGGAGTAAAGTAGTTGTTCGTCTAACCAGCACTGCCATCCATACAAATGTGCCGCAACGCATTTAAATATCATAAAGAAGATACTCTGGAAATTGATTCACAGTAATAATGAGCCAATGTTACATGTTCAAATCCTGTATCTAACCATGAAAGGGTGTATCAAAATCTGTTTCTCAATCTGCAGGAGTGACGTTAATTCAAGTTGCAACACTCAGACAATAGGTAACCAGGAGTGAAGAAATGGCTTTTCGACATTAAAAGTTTCGATGAAAGACAACAAAAGCCAGGTGTCACCACAGTCCAGCAAAGGAATCTGTCACTGCATATATTACAGACTGCAAAACAAAGAGTGAGTCATTATGTACCGCTTTCTTTTGAACATTGAGTAACTTGAGTTGCCAGGAAGTTTCTGAGCATCTGTAATAGGTTGACTAAATAATCAATATTCTAAAATAAGCAATGCCAGTGATTACTGCCGTTGCATATATCTCAAAACTTTTTCAGTTCAAGTTGGAAATAAAACTAATACACACCAACAGCATGTTTTCTGGGCCTGTTTATAAATGTGCACAGGATGTTTATTCATGTGTATAAAATTAATGGGAAAGCGATGTCATGTTGCCTAATATGTCTTTAATTATTAACTGGTAATGACTCTTTATATAATGGTGCATTCTGACATTTCCACACTGCATCTTGCTGCATGTCCATCAGGTTTTAAAACCTTTGTTCTAATTCACCTGTTTGTGCTTGTAAAATATATCAGTTCTAAAAAGGTGAATTTTTCTTCAAATACACCCTGGCATGCGACAGGTTCTTAGTGTATTTGGCCGTGAAAAGCAAACTTGTCATGTCATGGAGGAATCAACACTATTACACAATTAATCCCAACTAAAGTCATAAAAGCCGCCAGATTAATTGTGTTTTGCAGCGAACAAAGAACAGTCCTGTGATCTAAACAAGTTGCTTACCCGTTCGCCAAATAATCAAGTGCTGCATTCCACATCAGCTTATATGAGCCTTAAGGCTAAAGAAATACCCAATCACAGCAGGAGCCTGAGCGTGTGTGACTGTGTGTGTGAGTGTGAGATATAATTGTTTGTCCCCAGGGATGTGAGCTCACTGTGGAGTCACATGCGTGTCTTGCGGGGAAAAGAAACGCAGTCAAAGCTACAAGCAGCTAAAATTGAAGTCCACTTCAAAGTCTGGGGCTTTCCTCAATCCCCACAGTGTGCTGATAATAGCCTTATCCACTGTGGTCAACTATATAAAGAGGTGTGACTTCATGTGTGGAAGGTTGATTGCAACTTTTTTTTTTAACCATGACCAACACACGATATGCTTATTTCATAACATAGCACAGAACAGAAGCACTGTCCTTGTTCTTGCTTCTTTATGCTATTTTAAGTTAAGCCGTTGAGCCAATTTGATTTTTTGGGGGGCAAAATGTGGTGAAAAAAGCAATCTGTACTACAGCCAAACCATCTCGTGTACATTACAAATTAAAGGATAAAAATAACATTTGAGAAGAATTTTTACACAAAAACATCCCGCCTTCAGTCCTTCTAGCTTTTATATAAAGTGTTAACACGACTCGGAAATTCTCCCTGCAGCTTCCTGTTATTCTCCTCTTCCTTCAAATCTAAAACAAGTCTGCTAGACCATATTTCTGCACATAAAAACACACTCAGCCGGTGCAACCCAGGACAAACTGTTTACTTAACAGAGAACAGCATATCATCGGTCAACAGGTGACCATTACAAGCATAAACGGTATAATCCCAAAACTTGACAGAAACTCACCAGAACACTGTTCAGTGCTCTCACCCCCTCAAGTCTCATGTGCAGCTTGTTAATGCAAAGACTGACCTCAGTGTAGCTGTATACCACTGATGGCTTCCCTGTTTGTGGATCTCTATGGGGATCTGGCGGTAGCGTATGTTGATAGCTGCGCCTCTGTTGCCTCTGAGTGTTTTAGCCTGAAATAGCTAAACAGTTTAGAAGTCACCCAGCCTCTCAACATCCCTGCGTTGTTCTTCACAGCCCAGCAGCCACACTAACTTCACTCTGGGTTTGGCAGGGTCCAGCACTTCAGCATGACTGTGCTAAGTTATGTGCACACAGTCTTTGGAACACTTCCAGTCTCACACAGCTAACAGCTGCTCTCAGTCAATGTATGCCCATCTTTATCTCGCTCTTTGTCCCGTTAGAGGCTTCAGCCAGCAAGCGGCTGTGCTCGCAGCTAAGACAGCACCTGTCTTTGGGGTGAAGAGGGATTGAAGAGGCAACTAAACCCTGGCAGCTTACATAATGCCTGCCCATTGTCCTCTACTCCAGAAAAGAAAAAGCAATCACCGCTAAAGCATTTCTATACCTTGAGGTTAGGGTATATGGAAGCCAGTGCAAGTTCTGAAATGGAAACAATCTGTAACATATTTTTTACTGCCTGCAGACTAGAAATGTAATATAAAATAAATTGTTCATGTGCAAAATATCAAGTGTTTGTGTATAATAATAATAATAAGCCGATATATCTTTATTGGGTTTTCTTAAAGCTGCATTGACACGTTTGAACATGTAAACACAAGCCTAAAATATCACCTTTAAAAGTTGTTATGGTGTGCGTGTCTTTACAGTTGTAGCCATCACAAAGCAACATTAATTCGAGTAGAAATGTAGAGTGAGTTTATTACAGCTTTATGGTGAAACTGATAAAACTAATGAGAGTGAGCGTGAGACTGAACCAAAACAGTTAAGTCACAGGCCATAAAACCAAGACAATTAGCTAAAGGGTCCTAAAATGCACCCAAGAGCTGAGGGGAACTGCAGAGTTTCACATTACATGTAGTCATCTGATCCATTCATTATAAAAAGATATTGATTTGTGCAGCTTTAAAGTCTTAAATAACAAATGCAGTATCAGCCGCAAAAATCCAATATCAGTTAGACTGTAATAAAAAAACACTTAATTATTACTGAGGTCTTGCTGCAATGGTATCTCACCCAAAATAATTAAACTTATTTATCTGAGAGCAAATAAAAAAAAAGGGAAAAACTAAGTAGTTGGCTAAGGCCTGCTGTATGCACACTGATGGACTTTTTTTAACTTCCACTGAACAGTAATTGCTCTTTTACAGTCACCAGTGACTGGTCCTATCCAGCTCCAGCCGTGTCAGGCTGTGGCACTTTCTTGAGAAAAACTGCATCCAAGGCTGCTCGGGTTGCACCAGCTGCACAAAAGGTAAAGTTGTGTTCTCACAGAAACACGGTAATTGTGGAGCTTTGACCCCGGTGCACTTGTAATAACTGTATTTAGCCTCATGAGACTCAAGAGTGGGACGGGAATAAAATATCCCCCGGGCTCCCAGAACCCAAACAAAGGCCTAAAATCTCATACTACGCTCAAATACAAATCAGCCATTTATCCATTTTCTGGGAAAAAACGTAATGTGATTACGTTTGTTTTTGTGCCTGCTAGTAAAAGACTGAGAAAAGGCATGAGAATTTAAACTGAAACCCTAATGGGAAAGGATGAAAAAGAGGTGGTGGGGAGAGAGAGACAAGAATGCCTCACCATGTCTTATGTAGTTGAGTGTATAATTAGATGCTCTAAAGAGACTACAAGGTCTGGACAGCTTAATGGGGTTTAATGTGAGTGGACAGTAGCCCAAACTATGCAAGTTCCAAGGTGTATTACCAAAGCACTCAATGGTAATTAAATGCAACTTAGCAGGATAGAGCACAGAGCGTGCCCGGGTAGCTCACTGGGTTGAGTGCATACCATATATATCAAGGCTAAGTCCTAATCATAGCGGGGTTCGAATCTGGAGCGGGCTCTTTGCTGAATGTCATCCCCTGCCCTTCCTGTCGCTCCCTACTGTCAGAAAAAACAAAAATAAATAAATAAATTAGCCAGAGCAGAGCAAAAGCCAAGCAAGTAAACTGAATTATAGAAAATGATGCGACTCCACAATTCTTTAATAGTAAACAGACCTAAAATAATAGTGTTTAGTTTAGGTCAAGACAGATTTTTTAGGCTCGGTGTGTTTGCTGACAAAACGCTGTGTCTGTTTATCTTCAGAGGGGAAGGTAAAACAAACATGAAGAGGCCATCATGAAAAAAAAAAAAGGCGTATTATCTACCTCTTTTCCTTCCTTGTCTTCTGCATGACCAAGCAATTTCACGACAGGAATGTAGAGACACTCTGCTCAACTGTTTGTGCTGTCACATTTTTTTTTGTCCTCCAGCAAAAAAAAAAAAAACAACACGCCACTGTTGTCACAAATCTGTTTACAATAAGTCTGTTTGACGTATTCCACTGAGGCGAAGGAAAACAAATAAAAGCTGAGACTGTGATCACACAGATAAGATTGATCTATCTGATGTGTTCAAGCACCGCGCAGGATTATACAACAAAAGCAAAGCTGCAGTGCTCTGGAATCTGCTGTTGTTGTTTTTTTTTTCAAAAGATCGAATAAGGTCAGATTCACCAAGACAAACATTTCAGATTCCACTATTGTATTAGTCCTTGAAGCGCTCTGGTTTTGTAAGGCACTGTGGGTTTTGATTAATTACATTAAAGAGTCTCTAGGAAAAAGATAATCGCTTTATCCTCTGTCTCGGCTTTACATCAAAGTGAGATATCTCCTTAAATAAACCGCAGTGCACATGGAGATGATATTGCTGAGTCAGCAGATGAGACCTTCCTTCCTCCATCCTGCCCGAGGGCATGTCCTGACATCTATTAGCCACGTGACAGATAAACAAATTCTGGGACCATGGTTCCCAAGATGGGGTGCAGGGACCTGGAGGGGTACTGGAGAGGGTGGAGGAGGGGGTTCAAATGTGTCCGCGGCGCAAATAATCATCAGTTCGAATTTGCTGGGTCATTTCCTTTTATTCACAAAATCAGATACAACTTTTCAAAGCAGATGTTTCAGCAGGAAAAGCACAGGCGGAGCGAGAACGATAGCTCCGTTCCAGTAATTATTCCAGTGCAGCAAATTAATGCTATTAATTTCTCCTCTGTTTGTTGTGAAAAAGCTGAAATCAACCCTAAGTTTCAGTCCATATTCCTCTCGCTGTGAAGGGGCATTTAATTCCCACAGTTTGGGAACTAAATGCCAAAATAAACAAACCCAAATAAACCACCAGATATTAGCTAGTTACAGTTTCACACATGAAATGAACTGCCTGTATTTCTGTTTTATATCCTTATACACTGAATAGTTGTGTTTTTGATAGTTGGTTAGACAAGGAAAGCCACTTTAATAATAGTAATGTCTTTCAGTTTTAGTGAGTTGTCGTTATGTGGACATTTTATAGCACAATGCAACATTATGTTACCTCATTAGTGTGTCACGCTCTACTTTTATCTCCCAATCTATGGCACAATAGAAGCACAGAACAAAAACCTCAAATGGAGGTCAGTGGGATGGGGTTTCTTGTGGGGCTGCAGAGTTAATCAAAGTATAATTGAAACTGCAATATGGAATAGCAGAATCGCAAAAACTGGCCCGGCCTACAAATCTTGTTCTCCAAATGTAATAAAACATGTTTTTAATGGGACAGACCCTCCCAGACTTTCACAACATCATGATTTTATAGTTTTTTCCTCAATTAAAATGAAAATTGTGATGCAAAAATGATCATTCCCACTTATTGTGAATCATATCCCAATTGTAAAATCAGTCAAAACAACAATATGATTATATTTTTGCCATATCATAGAGTCCTAGTTTATTCTTGGGTTATATTGAGTTATATTTAACCTAATGCTGAAACAATTAGTTGATTAATTGACAAGTTAATTACCAAAAAGCATTCCTGCATCTCAAACGTGAGAATTTGTATTTTTCTCTTGTAAATTGACTCTGATAAACGATAATAGTTGTTAGTTGCAGTCCCTTTTGTCACCAGGAATAAAAGTTAATTAACTTGCCAATGACAGACATTTATATTCATACATTTATATATTCACATCACCCCTCATGACCCGAGAAACAGAAGCCATGCACAGCTGCTGCAGCACCAGAGAGCAATGAATGAATTATGAATGAGTGAAGCTGACCACATCCCCAAAGTCTCCACACTGCCTTATTGAAAGCTTATTAAAAAGACACGCTGAGCCAACCCTTCATCCCATTTACTCTCTGAAGCTGAAGAGGAGGAGTGACCGCTAGCTGTCCAGGATGAGGAACTCCTCTCCAGTCTGTCAAGAAAAAGGGCTTAAAACCACAACAAAACTCTGGAAGTCCGAGCACATTCACAGGACTTTCTCCCCACCCTCTTCCTCTGCATTACCTGGTTAACAAATCAGTCATCCACCCGCAGCAGCAGCAGCAGCAGCAGCAGCAGCGGACACTTTTCGATGCAATGTGTGGAGGTTAGTGGCTGTCAATGTCGCCTCCTCTCACACAGGGAAGATAAGTCAGCGGTCCACACCGGTTCACGACCTTCAATATAACGATGATTCAGCACGAAGAAGGTTTTTCATACAGCGAAATCCCTTCTGAAGCTCACACAGACACACACAATCTGGTTTATTTACTCACCGGTTACTGGTACTCACCTCAAACTCTCTCTCTCTCTCTCTCCCTCTCTGCATGTCTTGCTTAACCGGTGTCAAGTCGGCTGTTATAAAAAACAAATTCACTTCCGGTGTGCACTTCAAATTAAAACACTTCACTAAAAATACACTACACCGCACTGAAATGCGTGCGTTTACCACGGCAGACACGTACTATTATACTCACGGAGGAGTTCGTAATACATAAAAGATACCAAAACACCACATCGCAGCGTGATACGGACACTCACTCCCTCCAAACGCCTTTTTACGGTTTTATTTTGAAGCCTACGTTAATCAGCTTCCGGTTGCACTCATGTAATTTCTTGGAGCTTGTCGCCACGGAGATTGTTGCGCCTGCGTAAACGATGATTCATATTTCTGATGAAAGCTGAGGGAGGGCGTCGTTCCGCTGTGATGTTCATGACCTCCAGTCACAGACAGGCAAAATATAGGTGTTTATCTCTGTAAAGCTCAGTTTAAAGCTCCTTGGAGAGCTGGCAGTGTTTCACTACTATCATCTTTATCTATATATCATAAACAAAATGTCAAAGAAGGGCCTTTAATAATACAGTATTTCATTTAAACATCCAAAAAGATTAATCAAGCAGCATGGACGCTTCCTTCCTGTCATTGAACACGTTTTAAGCCAACATGTGTTTGAAGAACTGGGGAAAATGTGATATGATCAATTGTTAAATGTCTATTTTTGTAATATTCTCCTTACTGCTCTTTTATTACGACATTATCCGCTGAGCCTTAAGAGCCTTATAGTAAAGTAATAGTATATATATAGTAATAGCCTGTAGTCCTGCTTTATTAGCTGATCTTGAGGCCAGAGTGTCAAAAGACTCATATAATGCATTTTCCTAAGCTAATATGTTTCATCAAATGACCACATTGTCATTAGTTCAGCATCATTTTAATACATTTTCAGTCCTCTCAGTCCAAACTCTGTCATTGCCCTTCTTGACCAGCAGTAGTCCTCAGTCCTTCCTGCTGCTCTGCAGTCAGCTGATCATCACCTGTCTGCACACCTACTCCTTATTTCCCCCCACGCTGCCAGATGCCAGATCAGCTATTGTGCTTCTTATAGTTGTCGAGGCCCTTGTTCCGTCTATCTCTGCCTGTTTTTGTTTTTATCTGCCTTCTTGCTTTTTTTGAACAAAAATCAACAAACTGCTTTTTATCCTCACCACAGCTTATATCAAAACTGACATTTGGGAATAGGTAGAAATCTGATATACACGGTTAATAAGGAGCCAGGTGCTCATTTTTGCCCATTTAACTGAACAATGCCCACCAGCACAGGTCATATAGTGAAGATACATCTGATTATTTATCATATTCTTGACAACGCTGGGGCTTAAAGTTACACTTGTATTTATTTATCTACCTAACCTACCTGTTCTAGTTGCAAGATCTTATCTAAATTAATTTCTATCACTAACACCTAATATTCCTGTAGTGACTTTTCTGTAAGGGTGTTAATCAAAGTCATTTAAAGCACTATATAGCTGAATTCCCACATATATTTACACTATGTTTTAACAATTTAACAATGTTTTAAATGTCAGATAAAATCATAATAATGACACTAAACGGGATAAGATGGGTTTATAACTATCTTTCTTCCAGCCTGATTAAACATCCGATTGGATCCAATGGTAGAGTGCCAAATTTGATGTACCACTAATATACAGCAATAATACACACAGCATGTATAGTGCAAAGGTCACATCAGTATGAACAGAGTGACCCCTGGTGGCTTTCAGGAGTTTCACCTATAATAATATAATAATTATCATACAGATCTTTCTTTCTTTCCTATTAGATATTTTATTTTCATCTCACATGTTTGGGAGATGTACACTTAATTTTTCACCCACAGCCTCGTCTGTTTTTATTTTGTTTTTTAACTTTATTGTCACCTTTAATAGATATAATATATATATAATATAACAGAACATGACTCCACTTACAACAGGACAGTCTTTAGGTATAACATAGAAAAAATAAATAATACATAAATAATTATAATTATTTTATTATTATTATTATATTATATATTATTATATAATTCAATTAATTATTGTTGACTGTTGTAGATATAGCTATAATTTCTTAGTTTTTTAGCTTTTTTAGCCTTTTTAACTCATGTGAAGTGTCTTTGAGTTTCTTGAGAAGCACTCTCTGTGCACCCTACCTACCTATTTATTTTTTTTATTGTTGTATTTTATTTTATTGTTGTATTTTATTGTGTTTAAATGAACCTGGCTGCTATGACGACCCAATTTCCCTTCGGGGATTAATAAAGTCTATCCATCTATAAATTAAATGTATTATTATGTATTATTATTATTATTATTATTATAAAAAATAAATAAATATAGCAGTTACTTAACACAAAAAAGGCAATAAGATCACATTCATGTTCTTAAAAAATAAACCCTGAAGCGCACTAACAGTAAAACACATTTTATAAATTGAATAAACTGAATTATCCATTTATTCATTATCTATTATAATAAATAATTGATTTTTCTAGTCTAATCCACAAAAAGCAATCTCCACAGACTACATGGACCTGTTCTGTGTCACAGGCTGCTGATCAAGTTATTGATCGGGCAGCGGTTGGACTTCGCGTCTGTCAATCAGCGAGTGACGCGGATGACGAGCTCGCTGCTGATTGGCTGCTTCCTTGTTGATATTCTGTCAGTCCACAAAGTCAGAGGGGGGAGAGGTCAGTCCCGCTAGCATAGCAGCGCTGCGCACCAGGAAGTGACCGAAAGTGGCTGGTTGATATTAGTTTAATTCGGATTTTAAAAAGGTGGAAAAGAAACAGGCATGAGTTCCGCTGCTCCTCCGGTAAGATGCACAATAACAGGGCTGGTTTTTTCTTGTTTTTCAGCCACCGACGTCGATCTTTCCTCGGCTAGCTGCTGTTAGCCGCCGTGCTAACGTTGTTGTTGTTGACACTGTTTCCAAAAAGACATAAACAACACTTTATGTCTTGTTGCGTGCTTTGATTTTTAGCTGGCTTTTGCTGTGAATTAATGCAGTTTTTGTTTTGTTTATTATTTTATTATTTGCTGGCAGATGTTGATGAGGATTAGATAAAAACTTTGTGGACTAAGATTAACTTGGGTTTGGAGAGTTGGATGTAACGATATTGAAGGACAAAGACAAATAAATATGCAGCAAGTGCGCATTGAAACACGGTTAATGCTATTGGTAGATAGCATGCATGTGACTTAAGGTTAAAGGCAACAACTAAATATTCTCACCAGCACCTATTTTGAGTCTTTTTCAGACACTTTTATTCATAATTTTTAACATTTCTATGATAACAAACCAGCTTACTCAGAGCAGAGCTGACTTATAAGATATTAGTTACCAATTGAATGAAAATAATAACACATTTAAAGTGTTAGCAGGTTGTAAAATGGCTGTTATTGAGTTATTATTGGTTAAATATCTGTGTTGCCATGCATGTCAGTTAATGCAACTGGCAAATTACATACAGATAGATTGTTAGATAGAGAAACGTATTAATTAAAGGGACATTTTACAGTGTAACAGCAGAAGCAAAATACTATTTTAAAAAATGTAAAGTAGAAAATGGAATAAGATAAAAACATAGGACCAAACATATACAAAGTACAATTACAGTGCCTTGTAATGGACTGTACATTAGTAGTAATCAGTGGATAATGCAACAAGTTAGTTAGACTGAAAACGTAAAGTACTGATAAAGAAAGCTTCATTTTCTGTATCTGAAAAATGCCATTCAGTGTTATTTAACATTCGACATCAGTGTTCCCTCAGTATCCACTGTTTGTGCAATCATTGATAAGACATAAACAATCACAAATGTTGTTTAGTCAACCATTGTTGACATTCCTCGTTGATGCCTGTTTGATTTGCTTGTTTTGCAGACTATTGGGGAGTTATTCCTCATCCTCAGTGAGATGGGTTTCTCAGAGGAACAGATCCAGGCAGCCGTACAGGCGGGCCATTTTTCTGTGGCAGATGCAGCCGAGTGGTGAGTGCTCCCAACCCCTTTCTTAAATCTTAAATATTCAGCGTTCGTTAAATACCAATACCTTTCAGTAAACTACTTCTGTGTCCCTCTCTCGTATGTTGACAGGCTCTTACAGGGTCAGTATCCACGGCACAGGTTGGTCAAGCAGTCGTCGCAGCCAGCTGAGACAGCATTTTCTGCTTTCAACCCACCCAAAGAGGCAGCGAGCACTTCAGAGGCGCAGACATCTCCGTCTGACAGCAGAGGTATAACACCAAGCTGTTTGCTTTAAAGACAAAAAGTGTAATCCGTCATTGTAATATCCTGTAAATATTTGTCATCATGTCATTGAAGTTTTCAGTAACAGTTCACAATAAGAAATGAATGCTTCAGGGTGCAAAATTGAGTGTATGTTTCGTTTTTGTTTTTGTTTTTTTTACTTAAACAGCGTCCCCTTCATTGGTGCTGAGACCTTCACAGTCAGGCACCCTGTCCCCAGACCCACTACCAGTCGAGTCCCGCATCAAACAGGACAAAAGTGACTTTGAAGAGCAGCAGAGGCAGCGAGTTGCTCAAGAAGCCAGAGCAGAGAGAAGACAAAAGAAACAGGTCAGCAGTACTGAAAGGAAGAACTTATGGTGCCGAACGGTGCCAACTCAGCCGGACTGGCAGTTTGTTTGTTATAATACGGAAAACAAAATCCCTTAAACCAAGTGTCTTATTTGTAATCTCAGAACAGAATAGAACATCTTGTCTTATGTGTGTCGGTCTGCCAGGAGCGGGAGTTGGTATTGAAGCGGATAGCGGAGGATCGGAGGAGCCTGCAGGAGAAGATCCAAACCAGTGCCGCCACAGAGACGTCTCCTCCCAGTGTTCAAGGGCAGAAGCTTGGAGGAAAGGTTCAGACCAATGTGGACAACAACTGTGTCCTCATGGTGAGGCTATGAAGGACAATTTTGTGTGTGAATGAAGTAGATGCGTTCAAACTACAGAATTTCAGTTTCTTAAACGTCATGTGTTGTTTTTT